GTGGGCGGCGGTGTGTGTGCCTTGTTTTGAGCTGGAAAATGCAACATTTTACATAATATACGCCGTCACTTCATATATAGTTTCACTAGATTTATACACACACACATGCAGTACATATAATATATATAATATATATACATATATTTGTATATATATTTGTATATAAAGTACGACTCCGAGTTGAAAATCGAGGCGAGAGCATGGCTTTGGGGCAAACTGTTGCCGAGAGGGCGAGTGAGCATTGAGTAGTTTTCACTCGAGAATATATGTATGTATATATGTACATATATAATGAATTTTAAACTATTTTCCTTTGGAAGGGGGTGGGGGTGCTGGGTGGAAACTATCGCATTCGTCGTCATTTGCCATTTGCCGTTAGTTTGTTGCTGACTTCGATTCCCTCAGCTTCTGCCAGTTCTTCTTTGGATGCTTCAGCTTCAGCTTCAGTTTTAGCTTTAGTTTTAGCCACTTCTTTTGCCAAACAAAAGTTTTTCCAAAAGGGCCAAAAAATCTGGGGGGGTGGGTGCACACATTAGTCTCTAACTGTAAATTAGTGTGGGTTTAGCAAGCGAGACTGTACTTTCTAAAAACTTTAATTTTGAATTGATTGTATTTTAGGTTTAGAAAACGATCTTAAGGGGAAGAAATATTTAAAAAAATTAATTAATTAAATTAATTAATTTAAAGATACATATGTATCTTATCAAAAACTTACTGAGATCAGTAGAAAAATTTGGATTAACTTGATTTTAAGACTAATTTCATACTTTGGAGGTAAGGTGATTTTCTGGCTGAATTCTTACTTGGGAATTATAAGCCGCAGATTGGAAATATTAACTATTTATGTTATTAAAAATTGTTTATAAATTGTTTATGAATTGTTTATAAATTGTTTATGAATTGTTTATAAATTGTTAATAAATTGTTAATAAATTGCTTATAAATTGTTTATAAATTGTTTATAAATTGTTTATGAATTGTTTATAAATTGTTTATAAATTGTTTATAAATTGTTTATAAATTGGTTATAAATTATTTATAAATTGTTTATAAATTGTTTATAAATTGTTTATAAATTGTTTATGAATTGTTTATAAATTGTTTATAAATTGTTTATAAATTGTTTATAAATTGGTTATAAATTATTTATAAATTGTTTATAAATTGTTAATAAATTGTTAATAAATTGCTTATAAATTGTTTATAAATTGTTTATAAATTGCTTATAAATTATTTATAAATTAATCATAAATTTGTTATAAATTTAATATATTTAACGATATTAATATTCATTGACTTATTCAATATTTAATGCATTTAAACCGACTGTGCAGATTGCGCTCACATGTGTGCAGTTTTTGTGTTTTGCTTTTTCCTCCTCGGCACAGGACATCATCGGCATTATCCTTACAACGGCCAACGCTGGCATCTGAGCGACCTTTTCAACTTGTCTGCAGGGGCGTGGCACTCGAGGGGGGAATGGGGCCGGAGTATTTGACGGACATTTCTAATTTACAAATGTATGTGTGTGTGTGTGGCCGTGTGTGTGTGTGTGGAAATGCCTGGCAAACAAAACAAACTCGCAGCTCGATGGCGACGGCAACTGTGTTAATGATTAGAAAAACCTTTGCATTGGGCCAACCCCCCATTTTTGCACTGGGCCATCCCCCTTTTTTGCACACACACGCAGTACCCACAAGTCCCGGCCTTCCCCCCCTATAACCCCCCACCACCGCGTATCTACTTCCTGGCAATTAATGTGTGCAACATACGCGTTTTAATTTAACGCAACGCAACGCAACGCGACTTTGCCCCTTTCTCAACCATCCCTGGGCCACTGTCATTTCCCCCCCTCTGAAGTTGGAAAACTTTTGTTGCTTTTTTGCCGTAATTTTAAATGGTTTTCCACGTCCACACACACCCCACACACATGAGGTAAAGGAGTGGGTGGAACGCCCCGTTTTGAAAACTAAACCAACCAGTTTGGCAAGTTCCAAAAGGATTCACTTTGGGCCAGAAGTTGCCAGGACGAAAGGAGCGTGGGGGGAGGAGGAGTGAGGAGTCCTTGTGCGTGCGCGAATATGCGTGGCAAGGATTGCACTGGAATGGGTAGGGAATGACGATGGTGATGAGTCCTGAGTCCATGCTCCACTAGCAAAAACCCAGGGTTAAGATTCGCCTTAAATTTCAAGTACAAACAAATGGATTTTCTTCATTTTTTTTTTGGTAATTTCTAATAGAAAATACATGCTGCACTTAATAAAACAAACAAAAATGGTTTTAAAAGGAAGAAAAGAGAAAGAAGGGGGAATATGTGCTTGGGGAAATGTATTTTCACAGGTGTTGAGAGATTAAATGGAATTTAGAGGGTTTATTATTATGGAAAATATAAAGTATAGGATTAGGTTTGATTTTTGCTCTTAATTTTAAAATAGTTATTATATAGTATAAAAAATATTAGACTTTTTCCCCCAGTGCACTGGCTCTCACACACACAATGCACTCTGGTGCGTTCAATAGCGGACTCAAACCTGCAATGGTTAATGATGGACCCGGTTACCAGGCCTGGCTAGGTGGAGGTGGTTCTACCTCTCCCCCCTTGTACGGGTCTAAGTCCAGTTCCGCGTCCGTGTCCGGGCACTCGTCCCGGGGCCGCTTATGCAAATGGCAATGCAGCAGAGCGCGGATTTGCATGAACATTTTGCTAAACAAAAGTAAACCAATGCACACGCAATCCGAGCGGAGCCGGAGCCAAACGAGCTGCCATTTTGCATGAAATAAACTGGAGGATCGGATCGGAAGACTCGGGTTCCTGGTCCGTGTCCATGTCCATGTCCGTGTCCGATTTCCCCCTGTTGTTGGACTCCTAGCAGGTGCCGGTGGGATATTTATACATACGCACATTGCAGCCTGATTAAGCAGCATCTTTGCCACGGAAAAGAGTCATTTATAAGGATATAGATTGGGAGGATAAAGGATAAGGAAACCGAACTATATAAAACAGATATATATAATATGGAAATTTGACATTTAGCTTAGTTAATTTTGCATTTATTATTGTTTATTGTTTTATCTTTAAATTGTATATAAAAATCGATAAATATATATTAATATATTTATTCTAACCTTTTTTTCAAATATCTATAATAATATCAATTGATTCTTTTTGATCTGCAATTCATACCTAAATATTTTCTTAATTTATTTTCTCATTTATTTAAATTATTTTCAATTAAAAAAATAACTAACAAATATGCATGTAGAGGATGCTCTTCGGCTCTTTACCACATAGCTCTAATCCTAGACACATTTGTACCCCCCTTTAACCCCTTGAGCTCTTAACCCCGCGGTGGCCCTTCTCTAGTCATACCCCCACACCCCGCCCCTCGTGCCTTTTATTTGATTTTCCTCCACGGTGGACCTCCCACGCGCTTCACTTTTGCGGCTTGTTTACATTTTGTGTGCCACGTGCCATGACAGAAAGCAATAAAAACAAAGCGAAAACGTAAAGGAAAAGGAAAAGGAAAAACGAAAAGAAAAGAATCACAGCCGGCCTCCGATTAACGACACCCCATCCCCACCACCCACCACCCACACCCTTGAGCCCCAGCACAGGAGGGAAAAGCCTTGCCCAATTGCAGTTTCAGTGGGAAAATCAAGGAAAAAATGAAATTGCACTCAATTTGCATTTGCAACAAGGGTTGCCAAGGCTCGCAAAGTGATTATAACTATTATAAAATATATAATAATATAAAATATATAAGAAAATATAGTTAACAATATTCGTAATAGATATAATGTAATATAATACCTTAAAAAATATAATAACGCTTAATTCTATAATTTTAATAATACTTTTAAAATATATATTAAATAATATTGAAACATAATACAATATTTATTTGAATATAAAAACAAAAAAAAATAATACAAAAATATACTTTCTGAGACTTTAAAATTTTGTACTTTACCTTATAAAATATTACTAAATTAAATAATAATATATAATATATTTATTTATAATATTTATATATTTATATTAATAATTTTCTGTAATTATATTTCTTAATGTTCTCTTACTATACTTTATTATATAAAATATTTCTATATTAAATTTCTAATTCTTGTAACCTGACAACCATGTTGCAATTGTTTCTCTTTTTCGAGCAAAAACTGTGAGTTGTGCTCTCCGAGACTCACTCAAAAAAAAAGGGGGCCACTGAGTGAGTGGCGTACATCCCCCCTCCCCCTATTTACCCCTTACCCACCTGCTAACACAATTTTTCCCCCGAGCAATGCTCTCCATTTTCCTCCTCTCATTTTCCCTCTGGACGCGCCTCCGTGAATTGCATTGGCAGCAGCAGGCGGAGCCGTCGCTCTTCTAGTTTATTTCTGTGCCCGGATTTTCACTTGCTGTATTTTTCCCCCAGTTTTTTTATTGCGATTTTTCCCCCATTTTCCCCCGGACGAGAAAAATGCGCAGCCATCGGATCCGCTGATTGGAAGAGCACCGACTCAACTCGATGCTTTAATAGTTTCTGGGGTTGTGAGCTCAGCCCCCGCGTGTGCCCTAGGAGCAGAGAGGGTGAACCCCCACTTGGGGGTTCGTTATCCCTCCCTCATCATGCTGCACTTTGCGGCTGGGGAGCCACTGGCTGGCTGCCTGGCTGCCTGTGGGTGACAATTTCGTTTTATTTTGCCACTTTCTGGGCTGCTTTTTCCCCCAGGATCACACTCTATGATTTCAACAGCTAACTTGGCTGCTAGAAGGAACTGGAATGAGCAGTTTGAAATAGGGTTAAAGGTAGTATAAGTGGTATAAGTTTATAAATAAATTAATGTTATAATTTTAATACTACTTTAATGGTTTAGGAATTTGTATATTTTGGAGTTCTTTCCCAGAGGAGTTTCTTCTTCAAATACTTTTTTTTACTATACTTTTACTTATTTTCATTTTTAGAAAATTGTAATAATACATAATAATACCCCCCACACAATACCCTTATCGTCATGTGTCAAATAATGTACAAATTTAATTGTTATGAAATTTTTTGTATTTTTCATAATGGAATCGTAATATGGAACTGAATTATCCAAATTTAGCGATTCTTCTAATGATGACTGTCATCGGGGCCACCAGCGAGGCCCCAAGGGTGAAGCGTTTATCCTCTGCCGAATTCAAGGGGGACGCCACCCTCGAGCTGGCCAAGTACGTGGTCTCTATACGATCAAGGACACCGCAGACGTTCTTTGGCGACAATCACTTTTGTGGCGGTGGACTTCTATCGCGGCGCTGGGTGCTCACCGCCGCCCATTGTGTGATGAAGTAGGTAACGACCTTGGCATTTGATCCCACCCAGCAATACTAATTTTCCCCCATCCAAGCCAACTCAAGGTCATATACATGCCACGGATGCTGCTGGTGGTGTCCGGAACACCCCACCGTTTGCGCTTTGTCAAAGACAGAACTGTGTGTTCGCCGGTGAAATCGGTGCATGTGCCCAAGAACTTCATCATGTACAATACGATGAATATGGCGCTGATTTGTCTGAAGCACAAGTTGCCCTTGGATAATCCAAACATTGGATATCTTCTCCTGCCCCTGACGCCGCCCCAGATGGGAGTGACTTACTCGGTGCTCGGCTGGGGGCGAATGTATTCGGTAAGTCACAGATCGAATTGATTCGGTTGAATCGGATTCATCCTATTCTTCGCAGGAAGGCCCCCTGTCTTCCGAAATTTTACAACTGGAAGTGGCCCTCATGGACACCAAGAAGTGCCTGTCGCACTTCAAATACTTTCGCCCCGGCATGCTATGCGCCGGCAAAGATAATTCAACCATTGACGCTGATCCCTGTTCTGGCGATATCGGTGCCCCGGTCATATGGAACGGGGTGGTGGTGGGCATTGTGTCCTATCCCCTGGGCTGTGGCTCCGATATCCTGCCCTCCATTTACACGGATGTTCACTCCGGCCTCAAGTGGATCACGGAAACGGCCTATGCCTCTTTGGCGGAGGGGTTGAGGCCACTCCTTGTCATGGTTTTGTCATCGTTGGGAGTGCTGCTCACACTATAAGCCGGCTTTCTAAAACAAAATCATGTAAATATTCGGATGACCAAAATGATCATTCTATGTATGTATGTCTGTGGATCCATATTTTCGTACTAACTGTGCTTTCATTTTGGTAAATGCATTTTGAATACATGAAATCTTGAAAAATCTTAAACTCGAATTTGATTTCCAATTTAACAATTTCCCTATAATCCCGTAAAAGGAAAGTGCATTGCCTGGTCGCTGGCATTTTTCCTAGAATTTTCCTCCGCCATTTTGGTATATAAGTTGGCTGCTGCTCCAGTAACCTTCTCCCCCAGGAAAATTCTCATTCATCCAATGCATTTTCCCTTTTTCTAGTTTTTATTTTCCCTTTTTTATTTTGCGTTTTCCTTTTTCGGGTAGTAGGGAACATGCGCAGAGTTTTTCCTGCCCCTTCAAAAAAAACAAAATTGCACCCAAAAAAAAGCAGGAAAAACAGAAAGAAAAGCTAAACGAATAAAATGCAGTGCAATGGAAATGTGTTCCTCTTGTCTCTCTCTATATGTGTATGTGTGTTTGTGCTTCGTCTGCTTTTGCTGTGAAAAATAGAAAAACGAAAGTTTTCGTGATTCTCATTTGCTGTTGGCTGCCGCTTCCCCCTGGCGGCGGTTCGGGTTGGCGGTGCGGCGGTGGTTCGGTTTTTAGCATGGCTGTGGTTGGCTGTCTCGTCCCTCGCACCACCAGCAGCCCCTCGCCTCCGCCTTCGCCGTCGAGACGGCCCCCCCAAGACAACTGAAAGATCTAAAGGAGGAAAAGCCAACAAAAAACACAGATTATAAATACAATATGCTCTCGTTATGCTGAACCCACAAGTAAATCGGTTGTGTTGAGACCCTTTGCAGCTTCAGGACCTTAAAAGCGGTTATCTTAACTTGGCTTTGTTCACTTGGCAAATTTCAAAGCAATATGTTTAGATCTAAGATCACTGGAGAGACTCAAGTATCTCTCTCGGGAATTATCCCTTTGCGGAGTCGCCAAATAGGCAATGTTCCATTGTTAGTACTTCACAAACAAGCAAATAACATTCAATATAAATTATTTAAAATATATACAAAAGAAATGTAATACAACATAATCTTAGATACATTTCTAAGGCTTTCCTTTCTACCTAGACTTCTTAATAGAACCCACAAGTAAAAGGGTTGAGCTGAGACCCTTTGGAGAATCAGGACCTTGAAAACGGTTATCTTAACTTGGCTTAATAAGGCTTTGCCCAGCTGGCAATTTTCAAAGCAATATGTTTAGTTCTAAGACCACTGGAGAAACTAAAGTATCTCTCTGGTACTTTCCCCTTGTGGCATCGCCAAAAAGTAGGCAATGATTTGCAAGACAAGTGCCTAGATATCTTTCTCAGGCTTTCCCTTCTACCTAGTCTCCACTATAGATTGTCTGTATATACTTATAGGGATGACATGGTGAAAATTGTAGAAAGTATGGCAGAAGGGGTGGACGCTGAAGGAAAAAAGTGGAGCTTAGGTGTCGACTGTGGTGGGCGTGGCAGAGTGCCGGGGTACGCCATCACTATTAGTACAGCATTAATTAGTTATGGCAGACGATTTTGAGGTTGGCGCTCTGCTGAGCTCCTGAAAGCTTTTCACTGTCGGCAAAAGAAAAGAAGAAAAGCGGGGCAAAAACCATAAGGGGGGAACACACGCGTGCTTTGCCAAAATAAACACAGGAAATGTGAAAACCAAAAGAAAATCTAGTAGAAGCGAAAGTTTTTTGTGAATTATACAAAAAAAAAAGGCAACATCACTAAGGGAAATGTGATAAAAATGAAATGATAACTAGCCTGGGGTTCTTATAAAAAGAGGAAATGGGATATTTACAATCAAGAAATCTGTAATTATATTTTAATTTAAGCAAAAATACAAAGTAATAAATAAATGCCAACAAAAACAAATATAAATTGTCCCAAAATCAAACGAAAAGCTTTGATAAAGTGTGACAAATCATTAATTTGCTTTAAAATTATAAAAAAATATTTTTAATTAAGAAAAATCACTAACAAATTTGAAATATAAAGTACAAATTAATTATTATAAGAATTATAATTTTTTTACTAACAAAACCATTGATTTAATTATTTCAAAATAACAATATTCTAATATATTGCTTTGCCCTCGGCCATTTAATTTCTTGTTTGTTTTGTTATATATAGATATATTTACTTTTTTTTCAAAAATATTTTAATTAAATATTTATCCGAAACAAACATGAAATTCCCCGTTTTTGGCCCCCATCTCCCTCTCGTCCTTCTCACACTTGAGTGACTTTCAATTAGTTGCGCCACAACTAAGCAGGATAACCCCTTTTGGGGCCCCCACCACTGCTTACCCCCTTAATTTCTGCACTTTATATGCTCGTTTATTTATTTAAAAAGCAATAAATTCATGGCAAGTTTTATGCGCAAATATCTGAAAATTAAATGAGCATTTCCAGGGGGGTTGGTCAAGGGAATGCCTCCCTTTTTGTTGTGTGTGTGTGTCATGGGGGGAATGGGTTAAGGACCCAGCGTAGTGGTGGTGGTCAGTTGCGACGATGAAAAGGAGTGCTCAGAAATGAAAGTCCTTCGGGGTGTTCGTCTCTCCACTGACCGCTCTTTCGGTTCATTCATTATCAACACCGAAAAACTAAACAAAATTATTCGCCTTTGCCGGAAGTTGGCAATAAATTAGTTGGGTTCTCAGCAGCACACACATACACATACGCAGACCGCCCGCATTTCCCCCCCGAATTTTCCCTGAAAATCTCTCCAGACCTTGTCCAGACAAGCCGCCATAAAGCATTCATAAATCCCAAAGTAAACTAGAGCGAACCACCCAAAAAACCCCACACATATGCAGGCCACACAAGCAGGGTCGAAATAATAGCAAATTTTTAAATTTAAATAAATAAATTATTAATTATAAAGAAAATATGTATGCAAACTCATAAAAATATCACAAGGATCTTATATTTCGTTTAAATTATATTTAACTTAAGAGACCTATAACGTTGACCGCTGCTGTATGCGCACACACACGGTCCACACAGCGGCACAGACTCTTGTGTAACATGCGGTGGCCTTTATCCATTCATCCGTTCATTCATTTAACCTCCTCCGGTTGACCATACCCCCCAGCCCCTTCTTCTCTGTCTCGCTCATTGTGTCCATTTTCACCCGGAAAACGGCACCCCCCCTAAGCCATGTCCATGTCCGCCCTTCCGGGGGCCACATAGTTTCACTTTTGTTTTCGTTTCAACTCTTCGGGGCTGCTTTGCATGTGTCTGGAGTTTCAGGCCCACAATCGGACTCTTCCCTGCTTTTTTGCTTTTTGGGGGAATGGGAATGGCGAGTCGAAGGTCCTTGGTCCTTGGGCCTGCGTCCTTTGTCCACTTCGTTAGTTGTATTAGAGAGTTTGCGTATTTGCGGGTCATTTTGGAGATCCCTCAATTGGGGGTTAAATTAAAAGAGAGAAGCTGCCCTAATGAGTTCCAAAGGGGACAAGGGGCTGTACAGAAGCCCAGTGTAATTGCAGCCAATTGCCACTGTTTGAAAGTGGAGGATATGGAGGATAGTATTGAAATATATTACTAGAATCACTATTTTTATTTTACTTTTCTGCCTCTCTGAATATCAAGTCTATTTCAAGTCATTTTATTATTTATTTATATGCTTGGAAGTTTTTTATTTTATTACATTTCATTTATTAATTATTTTGTCTAGTCTTATATCAATCGATTAATTTTGGTACCCATCACTATTTCCGGCACGATCAACCGATAACCGATCATGCTACAGCGCCATCTGTTGCTGATGTTAATTTCCCAGCCACTGCCCAGAAGTATGCAATGTGGGTTAGTTCAAGGGTAGCCTGAAGAATAGGCAACCTTATTGGATCAAGATCTTTATTCTTACTGGAAAAATAACCAACTAAACGTGTGTCTTATTGGAATAATTATATACACATTTATTGTAATTATTAACAGGCATTTTCCAAGTAAAAGAAAAATTAAAGGCAGAAATGAAAAGCAAAACTCAAATGATTTTTCATTATTATTATAACATTAATGGTATCAATATATAAATTTAATATTATATATTATTATACACAAACTTTACCCTTAAAAACTCTTTTTAAAAAAACAAACTATACACCATATTTAATATCAATATTTTTATGGAACAAAACAAACCCTTGGTTCAAATATAAACACTCGCAAGGAATTTGTATAAATACCAACATAAATATTTCCAGGGATAAGCCTTGAGTTAGAGCAACAAATATGACGGAAGGGCAACGCATCCTGGGCACGTTCGATGCCGGCAAGGACGACGTGTGTGGGTGCCACAGGATATATGCGCCAGTTGTTGTTGGACCCTGAAAATGGGGATCATAAAAACGGGCACAAAGGCGTAAGCCGAGGCCAAAGATGCGTTAATTGGCATCCAAACGCGTGCCACTTCCTGGGTCCCGCCGATCCGCCGATCCGCCGATCCTTCGTTCCCTATTTTCTGGCTGATCGGAATTGGAATCGGGATCGTCCAGCCGGAACTGTAAACAATAAATACGACGCCGCGGGCGAACCTCCACTAATCCAGCACGTTAATTGATTTATTATACGCCTGCGCCATCAACACGATATATATCCTTATGGGCGAGGATCACGGATCAGGGATCACGGTTCATGGAGCCCCGACAGTCTTGGCCCGTGCTCCCTGAATGGCTTTATTAGTGTTATTAAATTTCATCCTCTCCGAGGGGTTGTTTGCCCAACATGCCGTCAGTTGTTACAAAACTATATAAAATGTATCCTTCGTCTTCGTCTCCCTCTTGCTGTCTTTATTTTCTTGGAACTTCTTTGAGAACAATAAAAAACGGAAAAACTGTAAAGGAACACTAAGCAGGATATGCCCAACACATTTGTGTTCCAATGCTGCAGCTTGCAAGGATCAATATCGAAGTAAAAACTAAATACAGTCGTTAATTTCGCTGAGTAAAATCAATTTGTTTAAATATTTTGAAATGTATAGTTAACTTTATGTAATATAATTAATTAAACCCCTTTTCCTTTTTCATTTTAAATTAATTTCAAGTCTGGCCAAACTATTGCATTAATCAGTTGAATAAACCTCAAGGAACTTTGGTA